GCTTCCTTGCCACCACCTAGGGTTAGTTTGTTAAATTAGATTGCCCTAAAACAGTGAGTAATTCTCCTCTTGAACCTAAGTGTATGCAGGTGAAAGATAAGAAAGGGCTCTCCACCTCCCCTCTCTAGGTCTATCCAATAACTTGATGTAGCTGGTTCATGGGGGAAAATAACCCAAAGCCAAAAGAACTGGTTCCAGGTCCTTACAATGTGGAGACCATGGAGCCTTGTATTTAGACTTTGATTTGGCTTTTTTGGGAGGCAGTTCTGACGCACTCCTCTGTGAATGATCTAAGTTAATGGACACAGTCTCTATATCACCGAAAAAACAGAAAAAAACAGTGACAATAAAATGCTAAACAATATTTCATTGAAAAATCATCATAATTAGAAAATGTAGAATGTAGAAAAAGTGAACAATTTCCAATAATAAGTGTAGATCTCTCTGTGCCCCCATCTTGAGAGGTGAGGTGGGTGGCAGCTAGAGACAGGGCATTTTCTGTGGTGGCACCTTTGTATTTGGATGGGAGACCAACAAGAAAGTCCAGGGTTGCTATGCAGAGGTAGGCAATGGCAAACCACCTCTGAATGTCTCTTGCATTGAAAACCCCACCGAGTCGCCATAAGTCAGCTGTGACTTGACAGCACTCTCCACCCCCACTGCTGCTCCTTCTGGCCTCCACCAGCTATACTTTCCCTCCTTTGACTTCTCCTTCTGTCTCCCTTTCTGTGCGTGCTTATGCGATGCTCCCTTCCATACTGCAAATCATTATTATTATTTTGGTAAAGACATGATGTGGAAGGGGAAGGACATACACACGAGAACACTGTTTGCAACAGAAAAACAGTGTTCACATCCTCCCTCTTTCACGGTGCAAATTATCTTCTCCCTTCCTATTTCTAGAAGTGAGAAAGGGATTGATTACTGTCATAAAAAATTATGATACTTAAAGTATCTTAGAAAACAAACTGGGAGTTGCTATGTACCTCCTTTTGTAATACAAGAAATAAGAAGGCTAAGCAAAATATATATATTAAAAACTTGTTTTTCACATAGTGCAGGACAGAACTGTAGTGTATTGTCATAGGATGTCAGAGAGGTCAGGCATTTAAGTAGGTTCAAACATGATTAGATAAAGTCACGAATGATACAGCCATCAACAGCTACGGCTAAGGGATATAAACATGCTGTGAGTGACCCAAACTGCAAGAAGCTGAAAGTGATAAGGGAGCAATTGATCTAGAAGTTGCCCTTTGGCTTCTCTTACATTTCCTCTGGAGTAACTGGTGCTGTTTACTATCAAAGACAGGATGCTGGTTTGGGTTCTTTTGTTCTTAAGATACATGTGTCAACAGTAGATGAACTTAAATAGGGACACCAAGGTTTGGCTGCAACTTTAACCCAAGGCCTAATTCAACTGTGAATTGCTAGAAATTTAGAAAATCAATTTAATAACTTCTGTAGTAGTAAGATGCATATAAAGATTATTTTCCAACTCAAGGATGATTTAGTAAGATGGCATAATAATGAATCAAATTTTATCTGCTACTTCTTAAGGTGGCTCCAAATAGTTTTAATAGGCAGTTGTGAAGGTAAAGTCTATCAAAGGGACTCACCAATAGAGCAGCATCTTTCCTGAGGACCCACCATTAATTTAAACTACAATTACTGTAATCATTCAGCCATATATGTTTTATGAGCTACAAGTATCCATTGGTAGTGCTCTCCTGTAATGTAGGTGGTTAACCCATAGTTTCATTGTTGTAAGTGGCTGGGAACATACTTCTGGAGTCTCCGAACGCACTGTTTGATCTCAGAATATATCTTCAAGCTATACCCTTCAATAATAGTTCTTAGAACTTTACTTATTAGAATAGCTTTCCAAAAATAATTCAAGGAAACGATGCCCATCTTCAGTTCTAGCACAGAGGTTTGTTCATCAAAACACTTCTACTCCGCCTTTCTCTATTCCAAGCAGGCCAATATGGGTGGTTGTTCCCCTTTTTCCCTTCCCACTATGCCACTGGTCTGACTAGTTATCATCCCCCGTTAGGATTGTCGAGAATGATGTTATACCTTTCATCGTGACATGGCTCACCTGCTTGAGCCATCTGAATTCGTTTATTAATACATCATCCCTTTTTATCAGGCTTTGCTTATCTTTAGTCTCATCCACTCGCCAAATGTGGCCCAGAACAACGAGAATGAGGAGAGTATTCTGTGGGTCAGGCTCGTACTACATAATTTACCCACAGAGGGCCACCCATGTCCAGCTTTTTCAAAACCAATTTCCTGATCTTCACCTGCTGGCTATTGTTTTCCCAACAATGTGTTCAGATAGCGTTTTTACAATTAGTGCCAAGCAGTCCTAAAAAACATCCTCCAACTAGAGGATGTTTTCTAAACACCAGATTAGGTATTTCCTGGATTAGATTTCTATGCAAGATACACAGTTAGTGTAACCAACATCCCACTGAATAAGTTTCTCCAGTTTTTAATGCTTTTTAACCCAAGTTAGTATTTAAACTAATATAACTAGCAGGTATGTAAATAAATACATGAGCAGACACAGAGCAGTCCCCATTCCCCAAATTCAAGCCAAAAAGAGCATGCATAGTTCAACATCATCCTACATATGATCCCATATAGGGTTACGTTTTGGTGGCAACAAGTAATGCATTCTTTATGCCTCAGTACTTGGGTGTTAAGTGCTAAAGTATCCCATTTTTATACTTTCATAGTGATCTACAAGTAGTGTGTCAGGCCACTAGTATACCAGATTTAGCTGCTGGGGTACCAGCCCAGGCATGTTTCCTGCCAAACATTTCCCAGAAAGGGAATTAGAAAAGTCTCACTTGCTGACTTTTCTAGTAATCAGCATGACTTGGGCTATGTGTTTGCAAAATTTCAGCTTTCTGGGAGGCATTAAACTATCTTAACCATTTGGGGGTACTGTTTCACCCACACAAGTACCAACACATTCCAGGACTCTGGCTTGGTAGAAAGTGCCCTAACAATTTCAACACTTGTGACAATGAATCCCTGAGACCTTGATCTACTGTTCCATAATGAAAAACTTTTTCAGTTTAAGACAGCAGTAAAGTTGCTAACCAATTCACTCATTATACAAAAAGCATGGTTTCCACCTTAACTTGTGTACTGCATAAACAGTAAACCTGTATACAGTGTGACATATAGTGCTTGCATGTAATTCAGTCAAGTTGCAATGGTCAACAGAAACACACAGTGTGGACTAGAAGCAAAACAAAAGGACAAAACCCATCCCTTCTCTTGATCTCCTTCCAAACGTCTCTTTTACAGGTGAGCCTCAGTTTAAGCAACCTGTACCACTTACTGCCAGTCACCTAGAAACAGGACAAGAGAGCCAAAAAAGAGGCTGCTGCTGCCGTACTTATTATTATTATTTAATTAATTAATTTGTACCCCGCCCTCCCCACAAAGCAGGCTCAGGGCGGCTTACACTGATTAACACATAAATAACAATTAAAAAGGAGCTGCGATGGCTCAAGTGGTTACGACGCGGAACTGCAGGCTGTAGAAGGTCGGTAGTCCAGCAGTTCAAGACCCGAGTCTGCCACATGACGGAGTGAGCTCCCGTCTCTAGTTCCAGCTCCTGCCAACCTAGCAGTTCGAAAGCAAGAAATTGCAAGTAGATAAATAGGTACCACTTCAGTGGGAAGGTAACAGCATTCCGTGCACCTTGGTGTTTAGTCATGCCAGCCACATGACCACGGAAACATCTTCGGACAGCGCTGTCTCTTCAGCTTTGAAACAGAGATGAGCTCCGCAACCCTAGAGTCGGATTCGACTGGCTTTCGAGCAAGGGAACCTTTACCTTTAACAATTAAAATCCACATAAAATCATTTAAAACAACTGCCTGCACTCTAAAGTCTCTATTGGGTTCACTGCTGCTACACTGAGCATCCTGGCAGCTGTGAGAAAGCCTATGGGCACTGGCTATTGTTCGCCTGTTGAAATATAGGAAAGCCTGCCCTCCTGTGAACCTTGCAGGGTTAGCAGCAAGCAACATGATGGAGGCAGGCAACTCCTGGCTGCCTTTATTAAACTACTGAAAATCAAATATTAAGGTGCAGGAGGATTAAGGGGAAGCTGACTTGTGCAGAGCCAGAGAAAGCTACACAGAGCAGCCCTCACTGTATCGCCAAATGGAAAACTGTATCACTGTATCGCCAAACTGTATCACTGCCACAGGAAGTGGTGACGGTTACAAGCATGGACTGCTTCAAAAGGGAATTAGATAAGCATATGGAGCAGAGGTCCATCAGTTCCTATTAGCCACAAGGTATAAATAGGGGCTCTGGGGCAAATGATGCTCTGTCTTCTTGGTGCTTGGGGGGGGTCAACAGTGGGAGTCCTAGCCCCACTGGTGGACCTCCTGATGGCACCTGGTATTTTTGGCCACTGTGTGACAGAGTGTTGGACTGGATGGGCCTTTGGCCTGATCCAACATTGGCATCTCTTATGTTCTTATGTTCTTATGGAAGCTGCCATTGTGCACCCATGACACGAATGCCCTCTGCCTCCAGTTTCTGAAGTGCTTAAGTCAACCCATCCTTTTATTAAATGTACCTGAACACAGAAGAATGTGTATCTCTCACCCAAGGAATCCTCTGTATCAAGTACCATAGTGATAGAACAGACAATCTAATTTTATTAGGATTTTATTTATTTATTATCATCTTGAAAACTAATCAGAGTTCAGGGGGAAGAAAGGACCTATCTGAAATTGCAAAGCAACCAACAACAAAAAAGATAAGACAGCATAGCAGAGATGGTATTCTTACACTGCCTGGAAGCAGAGAGAGCAGTATATACCAGGTCAGAAAAGGAAACGGTAGCAGATCAAGAACATCACTCTTAAATCCAGAATGCATCAAGACAATAGAGTGACCCTTGAGTTGGCAAAACGTCAACTACTGAATGCATTTACTACAGTAAATCACAAACATTACAATACCTTTGTCACTTCCGTAATAGTAGAAGACTGTCCGACTCAGAGCACACCACCGTTTTTGCCACTCAAAGCCAAGAAAGCTGTGGTCTGCAATTAAGACAATTCAAGTTAGGTTGCTCTTCATAAATTGGATCAGGCTTGACCTATTCATCTGTCCTGTGGAAAGTGTTAAAGTTTTACAAGTATGGAACTGAATTATATAATTGATTTAAATATGGAAGTGCAATGTAAAAAAATCAATTTATAATAACCCACTACAAATAAGCTGTCTTGAACCATGAAGAATGGGGGGAGGGTATAAATGTCTTAATAAATAAACAAACACAGAGATCTGCAACCTATGACTCCAAATCCAAATTTGGCTAAGCCCAGAACAAAATACGACTCTTTGAAAAAGACAATTAAAGCTTTTAAGTGAAGGTATATTGGAGGGATGGAGCTGCGGTGGCTCAAGTGGTTAAGACGCTGAACTGCAGGCTGTGGAAGGTCAGTAGTTCAGCGGTTCAAGACCCGGGTGCCGCAAGACAGGGTGAGCTCCTGTCTCTAGTTCCAGCTCCTGCCAACCTAGCAGTTTGAAAGCAAGAAATTGCAAGTAGATAAATAGGGACCACTTCGGTGGGAAGGTAACAGCGTTCCATGCACCTTGGTGTTTAGTCATGCCGGCCACATGACCACGGAAACGTCTTCGGACAGCGCTGGCTCTTCGGCTTTGAAACGGAGATGAGCACCGCAACCCTAGAGTCGGATTCGACTGGCTTTCGAGCAAGGGAACCTTTACCTTTACCTTTATATTGGAGGGACTGGCTAAAATAGCCTATACATGAAAGGAATGGCAGGAAAAGACTTATAGGTCTAAAGGGCTTCTTAGAAATGCTTTCCAGAAACGGAAATGATAGAGGTGAACAGCAGCCATTATTCCAAGTGCACACCATGCACAGATTTATGCCAGTGTTCTAAAAGAACTGCAAGACTGCATGTGTGCCACTTGCTAACAAAGGACTCCATCACCGGTGTTTGGGCTGCAGACACTGAATTATTAACCCACATGTCAATTACTAGTAATGTGTGTTTCCTGTTAGGCAAATAGGCTCTCTTATACTGGCCCTTTGTTGATCTCTTGCTGGGAATTTTGACATACTTTGGCTCTTTAATTATAAAAGGGTGTTGGGCTCTGATTAACATACGGAAAGATTAAAGTCACTTCTGTTTCTTTACTTGCTAAGTGTACATACATAGTTTTAATTGTTTCCAAAGTGGGTGATGATATAAGACATCTGCTATAGCACAGCTAGCACACAATTTTAAAAACCCAATAAAATCTTATTTTAAAAACTTTTTATATAATATTTTATTGATTTTATAAACTATATCCTACATTCTAAAGGGAAAAACCTATCACTAACTTATGACAAGAATACCTGTAAGCTGACAATACATACATCACTCCTGCAATAATATTGATATTATGATAAACAAAGAATTATAAAAGCAGAGAGATCAAAGTTCTATCGATTAATGCATAATTACGCTTAAGAAGTAATATTGTAATCCAGAAAAAAAATGTTTATCTCTTGGGCTTCTTCTTTACTTTTGGAGTTTTGGGCACTGCTCCTCCTTTCTCAGACTCTGACATTGAACTGCTGGAATCACTTGAAGAATTATCTGATTCTTCCTCACTGGGTTCCTCTCCTTCTTCCAGATTAGGGTCCTCGTCTTTATTTATGCCCGATTGTTTTTTCAAAAAAAATTTGCCTTTTGGACAGAGTCAATTTTAACTTTCTTGTCGTTGTATTTGAACACGATTCCTTTTGGGAAGCTCCATCTGTAGGTTATTGCTTTGTCTTGTAGGAAAAGAATTAAGTCTTTAGACTGTCATCTTAGTTTCTGGATCTCAAATGGAATGTCTTTCAGAATTTTAATTTCTTCTTCATTGATTTTAAGTGTTTTCCCCGCAGTAGCTTTTAAAACATTGTCTCTCATTGTTCTCTTTGAGAATTTAATGTAAATTTCGCCAGGCAGTTTATTTTTTCTTATAAAATCAGGGTAACTACGGTATGCCAAGTCCATGTCACTTTGTAGATCCTCCTGTTTAAGGTCTGAAATTGAAGCTATCGCTCCACTTATCGTTGTTTTCATGTCTTCTCCCTTCTGTTCAGGAACTCCTCTGAAGCATAGAACATGCACAGATTTATCAAGCTGAAGTTGAAGTAGTTGATTTTTATCCGTATTTCTTTCCTTCTTAACTTCTTTTAGTTGTTGCTTAATATCAATAGTCCTTGTTTCAACTTTCTTGATCCTTTTATCTGTCTTATTGGCTCTTTTTTCTATTTGGGTAAGTTGCTTTTGGACAGAATCCAGCTTGGCATTAATTGTAGACATCTGGTCTAGCAGAGGGCGCAGTGCTGCGGCAAGCATATTGGGAAAGTCTGCAGTCACTTCCTGTGGCTGACTGGGAGTCGTTGGTGTAGTACTTCCTGGTGGAAGTTTCTGCTCCGCTGCCATTCTCCTCGCCCTCCCAGTCATTTGTTTACAGTGAAGAAAAGTTTTAAATTAAAGTTTCTCTGAATTCGACGTTCTTGGGCTTAAAATATAGGTTTAAGCTTAAATAAAGTCTCGAGCAGTTAGTTTCTTTCCTTTATTCCTTTTTATACCTCTTAGAGACCACTCCGTTTCGGGGGGGGGGTCTCCAACCCTTCCCCACATGCCGCTCTTTCTCCGGTCAATTTAGCAAGCTGAGACTTCTTCACTTATACAGAGGTTTGATTAACTCTCTGTTTAGACAAGTTCAATTATTGCTGGGGTTATTTTCGCTTATTTTCTTGTCCGCTCATCTGGAGGTCGGCTCTCATCACCACACTGGCTCCGCGGCGTCAGGACCTCTCGGGGACAGGCAAGCCTCAATCCCGCGGCCATCGCCTTGGGAGAGGCTTATCCTGGCTTCACAGGCTGTCTCCTACAGAGACTTTGTGAGGGTCTGGAACCAGCCAGGACCCCTCCTGATCACCTCGGCTTGGCACATCAACATCGGAAGGTCACTGGGACGCGTCCAAAAGCAAGCCACCATGAACCGGAAGCTCCTTATTTTAAAAGCTTAATCAGAAGCAGGATATAAGTTAAAAGCAGAGTCTTAATCTTAATTGAAATGACATGAACAAACACCAGTTTATTCATGACACACTGAACTTGGTTTACTGTTTGGAGGGTCTAGAAGTGTGGATGACCCCATTCGTACTTCAGCGATTGACTGTTAAGGCAGACTTTCAAAGCTCCCACTGAAACTGGAAGGATAGGGCTGATGCAACCGTAGAAGTAACGTGACATATAAGCATGTTTTCTCACGTGAATGAGCATAATTTTGATCAATGCCCTTCCTTTTATTTGTTGTGCATTCACATGCTACTTCAGAAGAGAACTTGAATGGCACTATATATAAACACCAACCATGATTACTTTTGTAAGTACTGCTAGAGCTGAAGCAGGGAACCATATTACTTTCTTTGCAGACAAAAGGGAATGGCAAAAAGCCATTTCCTGCACCCATAGTAGGATGCTCCAGTGACCAGGACATAAAGTGTCCTGACAAAGGAACTCTGCAGCAATCACTATAAGATAGCAGCACACTGCACAGCCCATACCACTCCCTGTTAGTCGTGTCATCGGGAGTGGAGAAAGAGGGAAGGGAACAGACCCAAATGACCCAACATGGTGAGACCACAGGGATCAGATGGCTGAAAAAGCACATCCAACCACTTATGTTAGAACTATGGGGAGTGCTGGACATCATTATACTGGTAACCAAATTCCATCTATTTATAGATACATGTGAATGGTCTTTCCATATTCAGTTTTTGGGGAAGATTTTGTTCTTTTCAGTATTCTCAGAAACAAAAAGTTACTCATCTCTTAGCTTTTGCATTTAATGTGCACCTGTTAACCATGCTATCCACTAGGAATTTCTCTCATTCATTTAATAAATGTCCAAAATTGTGTCAAAAAATAAGACAGTAAACATTTTCTAGCTAAAGTTGACTGGATGCAGTCTGATTGTCCAACTCAGTTTACCTTTTCTGCGTTTTTCCAGGTATCCAGATTTTAACACAAACTGAAGGTCTTGGGCTCCCACAGGAAGAAGCTGAGTCCCTGAAAGACAAGTAAACACCCAGTAAACCTCTGTTTTTCTAAAGCATTGGTAAATTAACACAACAAAAAGCATACCCATAGTTAACAGATGTATGTTCACCACATTTGAACATACAAATGAATGAATTTTAGTATAAAATTATTAAACTTAATTTTTATGTTCATGTCAAGTGTTCAGTATTTACATAAGCATATGAACAGGGGTGTTTTTATTTTTTTAATTAAATTATACAGAAGAATTTTCTCTGTGGCAAATACAAGATAACCAAATGATCTCTTCCTCTATGCTTACGTAAAGAAAAAAACTCTCTTTTCCTATTGTCTTAATAATAAAATCCACAAGTCATCAATTCATTTTTTTCTGTTTAATGCAAGAAGTCTATGAGGGGTTTCCAGTCAGCAATAAATGCAGATGTTGTCTTTTCTCTGATCAAAGAAGTACGTTTAGCCATCTTTGCTAATTCCATCACTTTCATCAACCATTCAAGCCATTCATCCACTATTCAGGGGTGTTTTTTTAATGTGAATGAGCATCCTAGTGAATGCATTCCCTGTCACCTCCCTCCATGCGTAATTCAAAAATTAAACACTCCTGCAGAAAATGGTATGTGTGACACATCCCCACACCCCAATAATGGCTTGTTCTTGTTTTTCCACACAGGGATTCCAAAATATGGTTTTCATCCTCTTTTGGAATCCTAGTCTAGAGAGAATTATAGTTTCATAGGAATCAGCTTTACATCCTCTATTAAGTCTAGTTAAAATGGTTCAAAGAGTACATTAATTACAAACTGAGCCAAAGGGGACGCAAAGGCATTTCACAGCCAACCCTTTTTATTCCAAAGTAACTTTAAGCACAAGAATTTCAATTCTTCTGCTTCATGGTATACATACACACATATAAGCAAAGAAAATGCACGTTAAA